ATACTAAATATTTGTGTCACGGTGTGGTAGAATCAGGCGCTGTTGAATTTTGGGCATATGGAGTTATGGGTGTGTTCATTTGTCTTGCTTTGATGAAAAGGATACCCGTCTATCTTGAATAGTAGTTGAAATATTTGCGATTGAAAGAGGTGTGGTGGCTTGGTTACAGACGTAAATTTAGTGAGAAAGTGGCTACCATAGCTTGGTGACTTCCTAAGTTGAGTGTCCTTGGAAACTACAAATTTACATCTTTGTGCCTTGGATCATTTTTCAGTAAAATCCACACAGAAATCTGAGAAATGTGTTTTTTAAATGGACGTAACAGGTCAGCTAAACAAAATAAAATTTTTCAAAATGTCTCAAATGGTGGAAAGATATTAGTTTCTCAAATTTCGTTATCATTTTGACAAGCGCCTGATTTCATCATGATGTCACACTTTCACTTTTTGTACTGTTCATATGGCTGTAGACAACATAGAGAGTCTCACTTCTTTTAGTTTTAATCCAAATGGCTGTATGTGTTGTAGGTCTTTTTCTTCGATTATCTCCTCTGGTAACAAATAATGCAGTGGAAGAATGGCAATTGCTTATGATTGCTTGGTAGAAAAGTAAATATTCTATAGTAAATTCCTTCCATTACTGCGATAAAAGGGGATCCCAGCTTCCTTCATGACACATTTTCAAGTTGTCAAGTATCTTACCGTTTCAGGTTATCTCAGAACTAATTTTAATTTGTAAAAGTTGGACAGCTGGTTGGCCTTTGTTTTATTTTAAAAAATTTTTCTTGGAATTCAGGAACAGTAATCCCCTCTTTGTTATAAGTAAAACAACAAGTGTGAAGAAACAGAAAAACAAGCAAAATAACATGAATAGAACAGTAACTGTTCCACCTTCTGTCAATTCTTTTACTCTAAAATCTCAAAGTTTTTAACACATGTCCACTTCAGTCTCTTATTTTGTACTTTGTTTCTTGTTGTTTACTCACATTTCAAATAAAGCTTTTAACACAACCAAAGGTTTTCTGATTGCTTCATTTGAAAGTGTAGTTGTCTTTGTTGGCGATGCTCTGATATGAAATCAGTCTGCTTTTACTATTAAGTCTTAAGTTGTTCCTCTTTCTTTTTAGCATTTCCAGGTTTGCCCCATCAAATCTGATAAATTATTTTCCAACATTTCTGAGGGCTTTCACTCCCCAGATCACCAGTGTCTGTGGTGTAGTGGTTAAGTGCTTTGCTGTCCCACGCAGGAGAACATAACAGAGTTCGATTCTCAACTGAGGTGAAAATTTTTATTGAGTGCAGTATTTCGAGCATTTCGATCTTTTTTCGCTTGGACATTGTATCCCTCTCAGCCAGCCTGGGTTAGCCCTGACAGGTAAGGTCAGAAGCCTGCCTCTTAAATTATCTAAATAGCATCGATGGGGGCATAAAAAAACACTCCCCAGACCCCAGAACAGGTGGGATCAACAATATGATACATTAACAATTGAAACTTGAAAAAAAACAGGCTTTCAGTGCAGATGATCCTGTTTAAATCACCAGTGGAGTATTCTTGAACTGGTGAGTTTTCAAGATTTCAAGACACAGGTTTGGCTCAGTCCTGTCAGGGATGGATGCTACATTTAGAGTGTCCTGTCTCTAATTACATGTTACTCACAGCAATGCAAGGGACATGAATCTCATACTATAGTAGACATAGTAGACTATACTATCACCACTATGCAAATATGTGAATCTGGCTTGTGCAGGCTAACTTGTGCCCAGTACTTATGTGTACAGGAATAAGAGTATCTTTAAAATGCCACATCACACTGCTTTAAAGAAGAAAAAAAAAAAGCTTAGCTTTCTTTTCTTTAACTTTCCTATTCTCTCTGCCCTCTTCTATACAGAGTATGTAGCACTAACTGCATAATTTTGGGCCTATCGGCATCTGTGGCAGAGAGGCTAAGCTCACCATTGTCTATGATGAAGAAAGAGTTAGTACTTCAATGTCACATGCAGGAGACCCGAATTCCATATTGAGATTGTCACCATTTCTGCTGAGATGTTATATCCCTCTCAGCTTGGGTTGGTTTGTTTGTTTGTTTGAGTAAAGAGAAGCACATTGACACAATGATGTTCTCTTGATGCTGGGAAAAAGTAAGCCAGATAAACAGAAACAACAGAGGGAAAATAATAATATTTAATAAGTGGGACGAACCAGCGTCGCCCTCCAACCACCCGCTCCCGAGTTGGCACTGACACGCAAGGTCAGAAGCCTGCCTCCTAAATGATAAAAGTAGTGTTGATGGGGGTGTAGAAACACCTACACTTTAAAAAAATTGAAGGCAGCTCTTGGCTTCAAATACAAAAAAGGTAAGTTCAATGCTCATTGTGAGGAATAGATTTTAACAAGTATGTCAGTCTTTCTGTTATTAATATTATTAGTATCAGTAGTAAAGGCCTGGTTGACGCCTATATTCAGGGTCAAAGTAGCCCACCTCTAATTAATGATTAACATTGTGTTGATTGAGAAGAAAAACATTTTTACAGTTTAGCAAGGTACAAGGCGAAAGTTTGTGTTTCGAATCAGATACAGTGAAACTTGGATTCAGCTAAAGGAAATGGACTCCCCGGGTTTTTTATTCATAAAAATCAATAAAAATAAATAACTCCGTTTCAACAAACAGAAACATGAGCAAGCTCGTATTCAATGAAGTCACAGGGTGAACAGCCCCTTCTGACATGGCTTCGCTCATTTTTCTCCCACGTCGAACTTTATCTTTTCCTAGAAACCATCTGTGGCATCTGCATCATAAACCATTATTCACTTAGCCTATTGTTTATATCTTATGGAACCAATCAACGGTCTTCTTTCGTATAAAAATGTACTAACAGACACGTTGTTGACACACGTCTTATTGTGTGTCGGGGTCTGACTGCCAGCCAGCACACATGTGACTGTGTTGTGTATCTGTGTGCGCGCGCACGCGCGCGTATGTCTGGGCTGAGGGGGGCATAAGCAGCCCGGGCGTAGAACATCTGTAGTCAAGTCAATAATAGAGATACAAACACGTCACCACAGTACTCGCTGTCATTTTTCCCCTGGCTACTGATCAGTATTACAATATAAGCCAGTCTTGACATAGATATATATATATACATAATGAATTACACGCTGGTCGGTGGAATCAAACGTTGCCGTTGGCTGTACACAACAGCACAACTTGTTCGGCAAACAGTACGTCGTAGATGATAGATGACACAGGTGTGCATTTGAACAAATCGGACCTTTTTGCACAGCGTGCACTTGGTAGAGTTCAGTGTATTTTCCTAGAATTCTCCAGCATTTCTTTGGTAAGGCATCGAAGAACAGAAAATGCCTCTCTTTTGAAACAACTACTTTTGATGAGGAAGTTGAATATATTATACAATACTTGCTCAGTGCCCGTAATATTATCCACACAAAAACCTCATGTTTGCAGTAACGAACACTCAGATTCAAAGAAATTGAAGGTCAGGCCTAACGACTTCATTGAATCCGAGTTCCACGGTATAAACTCTTCTTATCAGACCTCTGATCCTATTTTGAGAAAAGAATAGTTTTAATTATTAGCAGCTATTCACCCTGCTTATTCACACAAGTGTCACTTAGGTGGTCTCCAAGAAAATAATAATCTGTTGCAAAAGCAAACCATGAATTCAATGAAACCAACTTGTCACCATCAGGTTTCAAACAATGAACTCAACAAATGTATCACATATTTGTGAAACACTCTTTTCAAAGAGGAGATTTTTAGCCAGGAGAAGTCATGTGTCATTTCACTTTCTGGGTCACAAAACTGTCTACATGTACAATGTTTAGAATGAACAAAGAACTAGAGCTATCACTATCAATGTCCAAGGTGGAGACCACTCGTATAGAAAGGTTTGGAATATTCAAACTTGTTGCAAATGTTTTACGGCACTTGCAACACAATTAGGACATATAACTTATAAGTGCTGAACATTTGAGGTATAGTAACAACAGTAAGGACTATAGAGAGAAGTTTGATAGGAAAGAAGGAGCAAACCACATCACAGCACCCGCCAACCACCAACAATATTCAAATTCTAAACTTTGAGTCACATGACAATACAGCTCATGAAACAGTCCTGCCTTGGAGAGGATTTTACTCTTTGGTCTCAGGTTGTAATGCCGGAAAAAAAAAATTCCTTAAGTAGCCCATTTCATAAAGTAAACAATCTATACAAATTCTAACCAAAATAAAGCTGTGGGTGTTTGGGTGCTTAATTAGCTGCTTGCACTGTATGCTTCCGGGGAAGCTGAGACTGTTTCTGAGTGCTCTATGGTTTTTTTTAATTTCTTTGGTAAGTGTTTTCCATCGCTCGCAACTGCATAAGGTCATAGGAGCGTGCGGGACATATTAAACATTTTCAGTTGGTTGAAAATTTTGAAGTTTGCCTAGGTGGCGGCCAAAGCCTACACATTGATTTTGAACCTCTAGGGGATCTTTAACGTGCACTACTTGCACACTGGACCTCCGAGATTTTTCGCCCTTATCCGAGAAGGCTAGGTGTTTAATCTTACCTACCATAAGATCAGGGGTGTGGCTTAAAGACAGCAGAAAGAAGGAGCCAAGGAGTAGAAAGGCTGCAGAATTTCCAGAAAGTGTCAGGAGCCCAGAGGAGGGGGCAAAGGAGGAGAGGGGGTGGGGGCAGAAAGTGGAGACGAAAGCAGACGACAGAAAATAGATAGAGAGCAGGAAAGGATGTGAAAAGAGAAAATTTAAGGAAAAAAATGTTCCGTCTCGATCCTGATTAAAACCCATGACCTATTGGATAAGAGGCAAATACCTTAACCTCTAGACCAAGAGAGCCTCCTTTCTATGGTCTGCTGGGGCAATAATATAGGGTAAAGCACATAGAGCTTGCTGTTGAGCGGGGGTATATGCTATACAAATGCTATCTATTATTATTTATTATATCAGCATTGACAAATGAATTCATAAGGTGAAGAAATGAATTTGAAAGTATACTCAAGTTTAATAATAATTCTCTGAACAATGTCATACAATACACTTTATCAGATCAGACAGCTTTCACACATCACCAATGCTCATGAAAATGGCATCATCTGAAATTTTCCTATCTGGTTTTCATCACAAGAGAACGTTTCACATGACTACTCCCTTACACATAACACTCAAACATAAGCCCTCATTTAGTCACCAAACTCCTCAGGCAATTACACACATGCACTTGAAACACTGAGCGACATTTATAACACATTGCACAATGGACAGACTCGTCAAAAAGCAAAAATTATAAACCTCAAGACCTAACAACAGCACTTATTGTATGCTTTTAAAGTCTCTCAACTAAGAAGAGCTAATTCAAATTACAGAAACCTGAGCAATCCACTTTTGTCTGTTGTAGGCCTACGAATCTTTTAAAAAAGTCATTAAACCACATCATAAAAGTTGGCTCTGAAATCAAACACTCTGTGTGACAACAATCAAACAATGCAGCAGCTTAAATAAAAGCACTAATAATACATTTGAAAAAACTCAGAAGCAATTTTTGTAGAAAGAGACTACATGTTCCCTGCGCCTTGTATTAGTTTCTGGAACCTTGTAGCCACGGTGAGAGAGGTATCGATGAAGCGTTCAACACAGTTGGAGACACAGGTCTCAGTACGACTGTCGAGCTTGTCCCGTGGGCGGTCCACACACTGTTCCCAGCACACATCTGCTAGTTTGTGTACCTAGGGAGGAAAAAAGAGGAGAAACAAAGAATTATGATCTCACAGCTTTGTATCATTTCTCATTAGGTGAAAGTATTGTATCATCCATTGTAACAACTTGTTAGAATAACAACGGAAGACCCAGAAGAACGAGGAGGTATTTTTTAAGAAAATTTAAGAACATTAGACGGGATGTAAATATTTCAGATCTTTAGTTTTAGTAAGGTTTTACGGCACTCGCAACTGCATATGGTCATATGAGTCGAGCGCAAAGGGGTGGATGTTAACAGAAGTCTAAACGGGAAATCAGGCTTACTCTGCTCATCTCTGTAGCCTCAACAGCACAAATTCTGCTTCGACTATCAAGGCACCCCAGAGATAGCAGGTAACAAGAGAGTTATAAACATACAAAAGAGGTAGAGGAATATGACGATAGTAAGGATGAGGAAAGAAAAAGCAGCAGTTCCCCCTATGTTGTTCCGGCACAGTATGAGCATGACATAGATAACTCAGCCCATTTACAATTCTACTGTGTATTATAAGAACATGATGGCACAGTATGAGCATGACATTGTAAATGGGCTGAGTTATCAATGTCATGAACTACAGTGCATAAGAACATGTTAATATCCCCCTTTGGGAATGGCCTAAAGACAACTTCAGTCAGTAGCACAGCCTGTTGGGGGGATCAGATTGTTTGAGAGATTTTTCGTAGTCAAAACACAATGTACTGATTAT